TTCATCATATATATATATATATATATATATAATTTTATGGACCTTTATTTTTATATGATTGTCAATTTTCGTAAAAAGTTTTTTATTTTTGACAAATATAAATTTGTCGGACATATTTCATCAGTAATATAACCTTTTTTACGAGTTTTTTTTCCATAAAAAATATACATTTTCTGATGGATTAATTTGTCATAATTTTAAAAAAAGAATTTAACATATATTCTTTAATTCTGCATAATTCTTACATATAAAAATTTCATAAATAAAATTTAATATTTAGAGAGGGATCAATAATTCCTCACAAATTTTATCATAAAAAATTTTGAGTTATTTGTGATGGAATTTGTGACAAAATACAAATGTTGACAAAAATTTCGTCGCAAAATCCGTTACTGACTTATTTATTATAGTTTTATGATGCATTTTTGTGAGGAAATATTTATAGAGAAACTTAATCCATCACAAAATCCTCACTAATTTTATTTTTTTAATCAGTGACGGATTTTGTGACGGATTAAATTTTGTCTCTAAAAGTTCCGTCACTAATTTTATTTTTTTAATCAGTGACGGATTTTGTGACGGATTAAATTTTGTCTCTAAAATATCTGTCACAAAATCCGTTACTAATTTTATTTTTTATTTAGTGACAAATTTTATGACGGATTAATTAAGTTTTGTCTCTAAAAAATCCGTTGCTAATTTTATTTTTTTATTCAATGACGGATTTTGTGATTGAATTTTTAGAGAAAAAATTTAATCTGTCACAAAATCCATCACTAATTTTATTTTTTTATTCAGTGACGAAAATTGTGACGGATCTTTTAGAGACAAAATTTAATCCGTCACAAAATCCTTCACAAACTTTAATAAATGGTAGTTCGTCACAAAAATTAAAATTTCCTCACAAAATTCTTCACTATTAGTGACACTATTTTTTCCATCACAAAAATTCGTCACAAATATTAATTTTTCTAGTAGTATAATGCAACCTTATTTTCATAATACAAATTCATGAGTAAAGTCTTAGGAAGTTGCAACTCTTCTAGTATTCTTTTAAGTCGTAAAATTTCACAAACTTCTTGTGTCATTACCCTATATTCAACCTTTGCCCCTTCTTCTAGCCATAATATTCTATTTTTTGCTTCTCCTAGTAACCATTCCCAAACAAATGTATAATAGCCTGATGTTAACTTTCGATCAACAATGGAGCTAACCCAATCTGCATCATTGAACACTTCTATTTCTTACTGTCCAATTTTCTTAAAAATAGCCTTTTTCTTGGAGCACTTTTTAAATGCCTCAAGATCCTATAAACTGCCTGCCTAAGGTGTTCTTGCACGTGGTGAGGTGACTCCTAAGCCTTCGTAGGATTAATAATTGTACTCAAACTGATGTGATTGGAATTGTTTAGGATTGATTTATGTTGTATGAGTATGAATGTTATGAAATCCTTGATTTATGGTGTTGATTCAGACTTTGTTGTGTATTAAGGGTTGGGGTTATATGTATGAATTGGGGGTTTTGTGCAATTGGATGAATTTGAGTGTTTGGATGACTTTGTGTTGTTCTATGAGTGTTATATTTTGTTTTAATGGTTGAATTGAGTAAAAAATGTTTAGATGAATTCATAAGATTTCGGAGACCTAGATCACGAGGTTTATGATTTTGCTAAGCGCATGATCTAAAGAAGTGGCAGACACACACTTAAGGTTTTGGGCACAGTGAATGCAATTCTTTGGGTTGGGCATGGATAGAATCATACTAGGTGTGAGAATGACGAAGAAGTCTTTATTCTCTACATTGGGTGATGGGTGTCTCATCTAGTGTTATTTGATGTTGTTTTTCAAGAGTGTTGACGTCAAGTGTGACCAAGATCACATTGGGTGTAATTATATCAGAAGAGTCTCTAATTTTTCAAGTGAAAGTAATCACACTGAGTAAAAGGTAGCTCAACTCCTTCCTCACACATGTCATGAACATGGTATCTAGAATCAACTTTGGTTTTTGCATAGAAGTCTTGGAAGTCATTCCACAAATGACTATTTCTTACTTTATCCTATAGTTAATTTTTGACAGCCCAAAAAAATTACTAAAAAATTGAAGTTACTTTATGAAATCAACACAAGAGTTTTTAACATATTTTGTTTTCACTTAAATGCTTTCTAAAAATATTTTAAGAAGGTCACTCATCTTTAAGTCGTTTCAAATCAAACACGCTTACTTGTTAAATTATTAATTGATAAACTACATTATAAATATAACTTAAGGGGGCGTTTGATACACATTATGTTTTTACATTCTTGAAAATCTTAAAGTGAATCTTAGTTTCCTATGTTTGGTATATGTTTTTTTAAAAAAGAAATTCCCAGGAATGTAGTTTCATAGGAACCATTTTTATCCCATTTTCCTACAAAAACACATTCTCATGGGAGGGTGAGAATCTAACTTTCCTGAGTTAGGGGAAAATTTAATGCATATAAAAGACCACAATATTTTTTTTAAAACATAAAATCTCTCTCTTTCTCTCTCCTTTTATTTCTCTTTCTCTCTCTATCTTTATCTCTCTCTCTCACACTCTCTCTCCCCTTCTCTTCCACTCTCTCTCTCTCCCTCTCTCTCTCTACTCTCTTTCTTTCTTTCCCCTTCTATTTCTTTTCCCCCCTCTCTTCCTCTCTCCCTCCCCATCTCTCTCTCTCTCTCTCTCTCTCTCTTGTATTTCATTAATTTTTGACCTTATCAATTTTAATAATATTATTAAACTATTTTATTTTTATAATTTAATAGTATTTGTTAACACTTTTAATTAATTAATTAATTAGAATGAAATGAAATATATATTTTTATCCTTCTTAATTATTATGTAGCATCTTTCTTTGTTTATATTTTTTAAAATTTTGTATTTAAATAATTTTAACTATAGGTTTTTAACTTTTTAAAAATAGTTTAATGTCATATTTGTAATAAGATTTGAGTAAATAAATATATTTAATAAGTTTATTTTAATAAAGGATATTTTTGTAAAAAAAATATTTATATTCCTAGAAATATAGTAGTGTAACAAAATATGAAAATCTTTAATTTTTGAGAATCCTATATGACTATTCATAAGAACCTTTATGAGTAATCAAACATATTTTAACTATTCTTCATAATCATGATTCAGAGGATTTGTAATTCTTAGAAATCATGATTCTTGAATATGAAAAAACTATTTTCCCTTACCAAATACTTCCTAAATGAGAAATTAATTAATACTATATATCATTGAAAAAATTAATACTACATATTAGACAGGTTTATATATAGAGTTATTAAGTGATGTGCTACACGGTAAACATAACTAAACTTAAAAAAATTAATTATACTACATATCTATCTGGGTAAGAATGCTAAAATTAATAATATCATATCTACATCTTGTCAAATTCTTGCTCATCCACATTCCACATGTTTGTAGGTAACAAGTAATAAGATAGGTAATTTAGACTGAACCGAGAGATCTACAAAATAGATGAGTGTGAACAGTTGGTAAGAAAGGTAACACAACTTAATAAAGTATTAATTAAAGAATTTATAAAATAATATAGAATTTAAAATTTATGAAAAGCATGACTCTTTAACGGAAATGATCTGTACGGATCATTAATACAAAAAAGAGAAAAGTAGAATTTCCTTTAGCATAGTATAGTGTAGTCATCCATAATCAGTTCCTTCAAAACACCATGCACCTATCTTCTTTCTCTATTTCGTTTGTATGATTGTATCAATGCTCAGAGACGGAGCCAAGGGGGGACCTACGGGTGCCACGGCCCCCCCAAAAGGATTCTGTGACAGTTGAGCATCATTATCGTGTAGATATATTTACTGCAGCGATAGATTATCAATTGAAAGAATTGAATAGTAGATTCAGCGAGCAATCAACTGAACTTCTTATGTTGAGTGTAGCTTTGGATCCTAAAGATGCATTCAAATCATTTAATGCTTGTGATATTTGTAGTCTAGCTAAGAAATTTTACTCTTCAGATTTTTCTGACCAAGAAATGATTCATATGGAATATGAATTGCAACATTATGAGTTTGATGTGCCAAAGGATCCCAAATTTCATAATTTGTCAACTCTTGGTGAATTATGTCAAAAACTAGTAGAGGTTGGCAAATCAAATGTTTATCCTTTAATTGATCGATTGATACGACTTGTTCTTACTCTGCCCGTGTCAACAGCAACTACAGAACGTGCTTTTTCAGCTATGAAGATTATAAAAACAAGTTTGTGCAACAAGATGGAAGATGGTTTTCTTACTGACTACATGATTGTTTATATTGAGAAGGAGATTGCACGAAGATTTACAACTGATATGATAATTGATGATTTTTACTTCATGAAACAACGACGGGCACAACTTAAGAAATAAAGGTACATACTTGAATAACTTGATCTTGCAATATGTTCGATATATTTATCAAATGTAAATATGAGAAATAATTTTTATTAAATTATGTTAATTATTATCTAGTTTTGTCAGATAATATGCTTTTGATACTTTAATTTTCATTTATTATAAATTATATATTATTTATTCTCGGCCCCCCAGTATTGAAATCCTGGCTCCGTCCCTGTCAATGCTCACCATTGGAATGGAGACGATACATTGAACTCTTTCCGGAATTCCATAACAGAAAATAACTGTAGTTTATATCTACATAATACATTCTTCCATAACAACCACTAATTGACATCAACGTAATTAGCAACACCGCATAACAGCATAAGCAAACAGAACCTTTGATTTCCCATTAACACACACACACACAAGTCCACAAATTACAATTTCCATCGACAACTCCATACAAGTCCAATCCAGTAATTCTGAAAACAATCATCCGTCCACATACGAACTCAATTCTCTCAAAGGCAGAAAACACATGAAAGAAAATTAAATTAATTACAAGAAGGAAGAAAAGCTAATTAAAAAGGAAGAAATTTATTTAATATAGATCCAACACTGATACAGAACACCAGCAAATAAAACATTTAAGAGAACCCTCCTCTTATTCCACACCTATGATACCACACTATACCAACTTACACATTATGTTTGAATACAAATTATTTAGAAATTTTTTAAAAGTTTAACTACAAGAAACATTCTTTATTTCCTGCAGAAAAACTCTTCTAGACTATATTCAAACAGACTCTAAATTTTGACCTGAAAACAAAAACAAAAGTTAAACCACAACATGTTGAGAGGGATCTTCGTTGCATTCAGTTATTTGCTTCACCAAACTGGGACAGTGTTGAACGCTGACAGATGAGCACCCCCATCAGCATTATTAACATTGTTATTATTATTATTGTTACCGTTGTTGTTGTTATCCTCTTCAGGGTGAAACTTGTAAACCTCGGGATTCTTGAAGGTGGAGACGGTGAGGGTGACGTCCTCGGCGGCGATGACTTTGCCGCCGACGGTGCCGCCGAAGATCTGGCCCTCGGAGGTGCAGAGGTTGATTGCCAAGGCCATGCGAGGGGGAGGAGAGGCTCCAGGGTTAAGGGTGTAATGGTTGCTGTAAACATAGGTGCCGCTGAAGGACACCAGTGAGAAGGGTCCATGGAGCGTGAACCCGGTGGCGCCACCTGGCGTGTGGCTGAGTGTGACGCTGGCCACGGCGCCGCTCCCACCGAGGACGGTGACGCTCACGTGTTCGCGGCGAGCTAGCTCGACGATGGACTCGATGGCGTCTTCGCCCTCGGGCACGTGGATGAAGGCGAACTTGGTGGGCTCCTCAGCGGCAGTGGGCTCGGTTGTGGAGGCGGTGATGGGCTTGGGCTTGTTTTTGGAGCCCGCGGGCCTGCCGCGCTGCTTCTTGCCGGAGGGTGGCGGCTGGCGCCGGAACGAGGGAGTGGAGTCAGAGTCATCGGAGGAGATGGAAATCATGGGAATGGTGTTCATTGCAACATGCAAATGAGAGAAAGAGTGAAGAGAAGTTATGAAATGATTTTAACAAGTTAACATGGTGGGAGAGAGTGATTCTGATGCTGTGAAGCTTTGTCTAATGGAGAATTTATAGTGTGAAGTTTTAGTTCATAAGTTTTGACACTGTGCATGTGGGAAGGTTATTCACGTATGGAAACAATGGGCGATACTATGACATGTCAAAGTGGGGTTTCTTTTTTTTCTTTCCTACACAAAACAACAAAATTTTGAGTTGTTTTATAAAAGGCATATAGGGTTTCGTCAAAAGTTTTTTAAATCATTTAATGAAAATTTATGAGTGAATTTATCTAATATGTGAGAATTGCCTTATTACAAGTACACTTGTCACCATAAAGTTAGTATATTAGTGGTATATTCTTTTTTATGTATTACTTTTATTGGTCTATTTAATCAGGTCAAAGTTGTCTACGTTATTAACTGAAAAGCTGAATTCAATTACACATGTGTTGTTATGTGCATTTTATTTAATAATGAAATAGAATTTGATAAAAAGAATACGTGTCATGAAAAATTAATAGAGTTTAATGAAACACTTGTTATTAATTACGATAATTTATATTGATTTAATTCAATAATGTGATGTATATTAAAAAATATGATCTAAACTGTGTTGATGAAACTTTTTTTTTTATATTGAATTAAAGGAAATATATGATGAGAAAATAATGATAAAATAATTGAGTTCGGTAAATATTGTTTTAGGAAAAATTCATATTGGACCCGATAACTGAGAAATTAAAGTCGATGATATTGATATTTTTACGTAAATTTTGCATAAATTTTATCAATTAATTAAAAGTATTAAAATTTGTATAAAAAGTGAGTTAATAGTTTTCTAATAAATGGTAGAAATTGTTGGTACAAGTATTGAAATCATTAAAAACTTTATTAAAATATATTTTTAAAATTTATTCTGCTTGTTTATTTGTAAATTATTTATTGAATTTTATAAGTGTTATGGACGTTAACTTGACCACATCTGTTTTTTCCAGACCCAAGAAATGCATTGACCCTATAACTGTACCAAGTTTGTGCTGTTGATGGAAAACATATTATTAATCGACTTACAAGACTCTACTAAAGGTGGTACCTCTGTTTTTTTTTTTTTCTTTCAAAAATTAATCATCAATAAAGTTGATAAATACTTCATACCAATAATATAATTATTAAAAATTAAAATAGTAAACAAATTTATTATAATAATTTTAAATCTTATTCTTTTGTTTATCAGTAAATTATTTATTAAAATTTATAAGTACTTTGGAGGTTACTTTGACCAAATCTGGTTTTCTACGCCCAAGGAATGCATATTGCCCCTTTAACTGTTGTTTATCTCTTACAAGGCATATATTCCAACAATATTATTTAGACCGGCACCTGACAAATAAGTTCGGGCTCACCATGCTAAGCTACACCAAGGGTGAAAACAGGTTAGTAGGGTTAGGCTTAATTTGGTGACCCTAAGCTTAACCTACGACAAAATTACTAAATTTGAATTTGACATGTTTACTTGTTAAGACTCATTTTTAAGACTTGGTCCTTGTTTAAAAATCTTATTTAAAGGTTTGTTTAAATGGTTTGTTTTATACAAGGTCCATAAATAAGTCAATAAACCTAAACCTAAAGACTAATAAGTTTAAGTGTTAAATATATTATTATTAATAATTATATATTAAATATGAATATTAATAATGAATTTTTTATGCATATATTAATAATGAATTAATACAAAATATATAATATTACTTTTTATTTTAAATAAATTGGTCTATCAATATTAATCTTTTTAAAGTTTAAAGCTATGTTAAGCTTTTTTAATAGCCAAATACAAGTTTTAAACATATCAAGTCACAAAGCTTAATAAATCGTTTAACTTATTTCTACTCCTAGGTTACACCAAGTTATGGACAATGTAAAGCTAACATGCTTGATATCTAAGATTGACATCTAATGTTTACTTGTCACTTAACACCCTATGTAGCATAATTGAATATAATAACCCTTCTTGCCAAATATATAAATGGGTTATTTTACATTAGCATGCATATATTTCTCATTTTACAATTTTTTTTTACTAAAATATATACTATTTTAATTTGTCACTAGAGTCCTTCAAGCATCATTACCAAAAAAATATATATATATTCTTTAAAATTTTCAATTTATCAATTAAACCATTTTTCAATTGTTTGGCATTATTGTGTTTAAATGCTTGATCCCTAGAATTAAATTTTTTCATTGATCTTTTCAGTATTTATGAATAAATTCATATATAATTGGGTCTGCAGATTGACCCATTTATGTGGACACAGTGTAACATCCCATTTACACTACAAGAAAAATGACTTATGCCTACGCACAAAAAATGTCACTAAAAATCTAAATTCTATAGGTAAAGGTATCATGGACTTTGACCTACAGACATTGAAGTTGTCAACTTTGAGGGGGCATATAGCTACAACTAATAGCCTATCATTATAAGTTTTACCTACAGACATAATTTTACCTACAATTACATTTGACTGTCACTATAAGAGCTACCTACAATTTGCAATATGCGTGGGTAAAAGTCATTGACTTGTATTTACACTATCTACTATAGGTAAATACCATTAAGTTGTACTTACATGTTATGACTGTAGGTAAAAGTATTTTATTATTATTATTATTATTATTATTATTATTATTATGTTTGGTCCAATTCCCAATAAAACTAGGTATCTTCCTAGATAAACTGCTCCCATCTATCCTACTACAGAAAATGTTGTGTTATTTCACAATTCAACAAAGACATAAAATGAGGAAAAGAAATTGTATCACATCATGTCACTCACAACTAAGCGAGATTCTTTAGTTTTCCATATGCTTTTGGTATTGTCCCTGTGAAATTATTTGAAGAAAGAAGTCTGCAGATTCATTTAGATAAAAAAGTGAAAAAAGAGGAGTTAGGCATGCATGAGCAAACAGTATGAAATATTGAAATTGTAGATAATTTGTGCATCAAAGAGACAAATTAATGATTGAAATTGATAATGTACACCAAATGAAAATAAAAAAGATTAGTGCCTAAAAAAGATCAATCATTCGGAGAAGCAATTAAAAAATTAAAAATTAAAGATAAAATAGAGGGATATTGAGATTAAGATGTACCATCAGCACCGCGAGGAGGAAATTTCTGAAGATTTAAATCTAAAAAGCAAGCCAATCTACAACACAAAAATTCATATCACAGAAGGAGAATTGGGATTAGGGTTTCACCTTTGTGATCAAGTTTATGACAACACTTCTTGAACATCATATTCCCCTTTTCGAATTTACACATAAAAACCTTCTAAAGGATGATAGAATAATACAGATGAAATTGCTCATACTTATCAATGCAATCTTCCTCAGGTGTCATCTATAACAGAGCCCACTCCATCCCCTTCGTCCTCGCGCTCTTCCTCTTCCTCGCATGGATCCCCCTTCGAGTGCAGTGCATCACCCACTGCTCTATTTGCTTGAAATGCGTTTACCTATCAAAGTTGGCAAACGCTTCTGTAACCTTAGACTCCCTGGAATTGCAGGAGCAGCTCTACTTATGAACGTTCTGCCCCGCGTGGGAACTGAACCCACTGCCCACGATACACGACGATGTCTCCTGCCTCTCGGCTTTCTAGCCGCCTCTTTCATCCGTCTTTCAGGAACGCCTTCGAGATCAAGGGCGGTCTATTTTTTTCTCTCTCTAAAAGAGCCAAAGTTTACGGATGGATGGGTGCTCTGCTCTGCCTGTGTGCTTGTGTGAATACAGCGAACGTCTCACCAGCTTCATCAAGCTTTTAATTTTTTAAAAATAATATAAAAAAATGGTTGCCATGTGTAACATAAAAAGGTAAAGCAGGTATTTAAAAATTGTGGCAGTTTTAAACCATCGAAAATATCATTACTTGGTACAAGAATTATAATATTTTGCGGCGGTTATTTGAAACCGCCAGAAAAAAAAAACCATAATTTTTTATAGTGTACATTGACAATTTATTAGTAGAAGAGCTTTAAGTTGTATTGAGTTTTGCCTATACCAAATAAAAGTGGGTATAGATTTTTGAGTTATACCTACATTAAATATTTGTAGGTAATTTTTTTTTTTAGTTTTACCTACACAAATTCAAGACTATAGGTAAAAATGTCTGTAGGCATAGGTTAATTTTTTTGTAGTGTTACATAAAATCTAATATAAATATTTTATTAATAATTTTGATATTTTTTTTAATAACATGGACCATTTAATATTTGTTTTAATTATTTAATATATTTTAGAGTATAATATTTGGTATTTTATTAAAGGTTATTATAATATTTTATTAAATAAGAGAAGGAATTTTTAGGATAATTGTGACTAATATATTTTAATTAGAGGGTTAGAGGGAGGTTAAAATTTAAAAATAAAAAAAAAAAGATTTCTGATACATTTTTTTTGTTCCCTTACTTTTCATGTATGTATTTACGTTTTAAAACTCGAAGAACAAAAATAGAAAAGAAATCATCTTAGGGTTGTGCACCCATTGTCTAAAGCTTATATATCCAAGTAAAGGAGAAGTGAAAAATCTCACTTTGGGTATGAATTTATATGTCGGGCAGTGGGATTGACCTCAATCTTGTGTATGTTGTATGCCTATGTATGAGGAGTTTTTCCAAATGCGTTTGTTTGTCTCTTGTTCTTCTTACATGTTCCTAATGACATGAATTGTTTGAATGTATGATCAATTGTATGTTTTGGGTTGTAAATGTATCATTTGAGGTTCATATGGGTTCTTATGGGAAACCTTAAGGGAATTTGTTGTGATAGTTTGTGAAGATGTATTGATTGATATGTGTAAATTGAGTGATTTCAAATGTTAATTGTATGTTATAAAGCAATTTTATCGATTTTATATGTTTATGCATAAAATTAGCTAGATGTCGGTAACTTGTAGTCACTAAGGAGACGTGTTATCCAAGGAGGAAGTTCGCATTCTCGCTTAGCAAGACATGCAAGGTCGCTTCGCGAGAAGCTCTAGGGAGCTCAACTTGCTCAGCTAGCTCAGCTTGCTCAACTAGATGTTGATCGCTCAACAAGAAGGCTCAAGGGACTTAGTTTGCTAAGCTAGATGTTGGTTGCTCAATGAGAGGCTCTAGGGAGCTCAGCTCACTCAATGAGTATTAGATGGTTCTTTTATCCTTATGATCTTGATACTACCATTTTACTAATGATTAGTTGATGTATTTGAGAATTTACAAAGGATATATGAGATGATATGAAGAATATGTGATATGTGAAGTGAGATTATGTGTATGTTATTACATCGAGTTTTTTTGACATGCATTATTCACATAAAAATGTGTTTTAAGGATACAATATGGAATACACCACCAAGGAAGGCCCCCTTATGTAAAATCTTGGGGATCAATCCTTAGGGATAGCTCGATTTGGAAGCCCTAGTCTTGCCTTCATGAGCATGGAATGTATCTTGTGCGACTTAGCTATCATGACTAGACCCTGGTAGTATATGCTTTTAATGAGACTGCATAGAAGGTGTGATCTGTGCCTATTGCATAATGCATTAATATGTAACTATTATTATTTATTATGCTATGACTGAATGACTATGGTTATAACGTTTGTCTGAGTATGCTATATCTTGTTTTGTGCTTATTTGTGTTTGGCTATTGATCCAATTTGCAATGCCTCTAGATTTTTGAGTTTTATAAAGTTTTTTTTATAGACATTAATAAGTTGAAAAAGGTTTGTCAAATTTTTTTATTATCTATGGATTTTAAATTCGTTGATCAAATTCATTGGAAATTTATTATTTCAATGGTTACAAATCCCTCGATAACTTTTTTTTTTCTTGTAGTGCTTCTAGATTTTTGAGTTGTATAAAGTTTGGTGGATAGGTTGAGTCATACTTTTTAAAAGTGACCATAGTATCAAAAGGATAGTCAATGAACACTACTACAAAAAAATCTTTAACAACATTTAAATAAGGTCTTTAACAACACTTTTGTGAGTTCACTACAAAAAAAATTACATTTAGCGACCACCAAAATCGGTCGCTAAATTGCTAAAATCGGTCGCTATTTGCCTTAGCGACCGAATTAGCAATAGCGACCGAATTTAAGTAGTCACAAAAATCCTAGTCGCAAAGCTATATAGCGACCAAAAAATTTTCAGTTGCTATTTAGAGACCGAAAATTTTGGTTTAGCGACCGAAAATTTTGGTCGCAAAATGGTTGCAATGATTTTGGTCGCTGATGTGTATGGGGACCAAATTAGTGACCGAATAAATCAGTCGCTAAATCGGTCGCTAAAGATTTATTTTTTATTTTATTAAATTTTATAAACATTGCAAATTTGGTCGCTACGAAATACTCATATTTGGCCTCTCAAGGATTCTATTTCACAATACTTCATTTTTCAGCATGTTTTGTCCTTAATTACACAATTTTTGAGCAACTTCCCAGAAGGTCACCCATCCCTATATTACTCCAAGTCAAGCACGCTTAACTGTGAAGTTCTTATGAGATAAGCTATAGAAAGACATATGCATATTGTCAGTATACGTAGTACAAATTAATTCATTTAAGTCATCCTC